ATTCTGCATGTAAAAGTATTAAGTTAGATATATAAAGAACCAATAATTTATGAGATATTATAGACACATTTCTCTGGCACATATAATTGACATGACACAATAATATCTCGGAAAGCACTAATTTTTTCATAATTGTAATGTCCAAATACTTTTATGAATAGAATAATGAGATAAATCAGGTGTAAAGATAACATATACTTGTTTGTTTAACAGAATTATTCATTGGGCCTAAGTATCTTTATGGTAAAACTTAAAAAAATTAGCGACTTCTTTCACCAATTACAATAATCTTGACATATATTTTCAAATAAAATTGATGATATTATAACATACATTTAACACTTCGTTTATTTCAAAGTGGAGTAAAACAATAAATTTTCTGCTTTAAAACACAAATTCTCTCCTTTGATACACATATTTTTTGCCTTACAGTACAAATTCTATGTCTTAAAGACACAAATATTCTGCTTTTAAAACGAGTTACTTTAAGAAAAAAGTAGCTAAGTTAGAATATGATAAAGCAGGGGAGAGGATTTAAGCAGGGGAAAAAAGGATCTTTTAAGAAGAAAGTGAATTTTAAACTCAGAAAAAAATGTATTCCCGAAAATGAATTCACACAACACGAATTCACAAAAATGTATTCACGCAACTTTCAGATGTATATATTTTATTTGAAATGAAAATATTAAACATACTTCCAAATTTAATATTCTTTGCAGAGACTGTGCGTCTAATACATCCTTAAATTGTACGGTAACATCTTTTAGATGCCTCGATCTTCTCCTAAAAAAAATAATGTAACAAATTATGTTCAAAAAGTATTTAAAAAATTACGTCATCCTCGTTCCACTTTTATCTGAAATACACTTTTTCGTAACGTTTTGAGATAATTTGATGCAACAGTTGATATGAGACACCTTATATATGTATATATATTATAAGAATAATTAATGTCAATTAGGTGAAATAATCATACGTTGTGAACCACAAGTAATAAAATATTACACAGTTTATATCGAATTCTACGTTAAAAATATAATTTCCTTAGTATACTTCTCGTGTATGTCTTTCGGTTTAATTAATTAAAACAATTACAATTTATTTACAGGCACGTCCACCTACAACTATGCCTTATATCACGCAAAGTAAACAAAGTATTGAAAGTACAAATATCAATACAAATGGTATGGTATTTTCATAAAGCTTTAGCTATCTGTAAATTGATGTATGATATGATTAAATATCGGTATAACTGGAAATTCTTTGATCTTTTCATCTGTTTATTTGAGTATTTTGATATCGTTTTGAGGACCATTTTATTTCTCACATTACACTACATATGTCAAACTGTTTATAATGAGGTATATATTATAATAGAACAAATGAATTAATAACTA